TGAGACTTAACATAGTGTACCGTAATGTATTTCTCCTGCTTTAGGAATGAGGGGGAATGCATTTCCCATTTGTAAATGTTTCCAATAAAATAAAACCATCCGATGCGATTCCTGGAGTGGGAGGGACACTGTGTGCCTGACTCTGAGGCCCGCCCCTTCGCCCCCGGGCTCTCTGCAGGCAGAACCCAGGCTGCTGAGAATGGGCTTCCTCTTCAACCTGCCTCTCCTCAGGGGCACTTTTATAGACTCGCTTCCTCCGCCCTGAAGCCTGCTGCTCTCTGTTCACTGGTCTCAGGATCTGACTTTCCCTTGGGGCTCCCCCTGAACCATCACTGGGGCCCACAGCCCTCTGGTTCTCTCCTGGGCGGGGTTTCAAATAAGGGCCTGAACACAACATGGCCAGGCACCCACCTGAAGTTTATTCCACCGGACACACAGCCAGCTCTCCCGTCCAGCTGGCCTCCATTCCCAGCAGCTTTAAGGACACGCGGTGAGCCAGCACGGCCATGGCATACTCAGCATCAGGGCGCCGCATGTGCCGCTCCAGCTCAGCCTGGTTCAGTGACTCCGAGTGGGGACGGTGAAGGAGGGAGAAAAGACAGGCAAGAGAATGAAAGTTGGGTCTCAGTGGGACGCTGCTCCCAGATGGAGAGACAGCGCCATGGGCTACGAGCCGTGTCTTTATTTTATAGCAGATTCCACCAGGCAAAGTAAGGGCGTGGTCAAGATGTTTACAACATTCTCGTGGGTTTCAATTCTACTCAACTACATGCACCCGACAGCTATCAAGCCCACATCACTCAGGCATGTGGAGCCACGTGTTCGGACCGTAGGTTCAAGCTCACAACTACAGCTGTTGGCCATAATTGTGCTGGGCGGGCTCTGCCCTCCAAACTGGGACTTGCACGTGGCCATGTGAGGACTGTGCTCTCTCATTAGTCCGAGGCTTGAACCTGTCCAAACACTGTGGCCGCTCTCCACAAGGACATCTTTTTAAAAGATTGTGTCCACAGTTTGGTCAAAAGGCCATTTTACGTTTGTGCCACAAAAGGATTTTAAATTGAAAATTGGAGGTACGGATTTGACTGACATCTCTCAGGAGTATTTTAGTGAAAAAAGACCACGTACTGACATAACCCGTCTTCCCAGGTTCAGAATTGTTAGAAACCAACACTGCTTCTCACATCGAGAAGAAAAGCAGTTAGAATAGAGTACTGATGTCTTCTTTCCCAGGGAGGAGCCACTGCCTCTTGGGAGAGTTTCTCCCTCTTCAGCACCTAGGCCATCAGACCCCATAGAACCCTCCCCCTAGAGCCGTGGTTCTCAACCTTCTGGCCCTTTAAATACAGTTCCTCATGTTGTGACCCCCAACCATAACATTATTTTTGTTGCTACTTCATAACTGTAATGTTGCTACTGTTATGAATCGTAATGTAAATATCTGATATGCAGGATGGTCTTAGGCGACCCCTGTGAAAGGGTCGTTCGACCCCCAGAGGGGTCGAGACCCACAGGTTGAGAACCGCTGCCCTAGAGGTAAGAGGACAGGTGGCCTAGGGACAGGTGGCATTGCAGGAGGTTAGCCCTGCTGATCAGAACTGGCCCTCGCTGCAAGGGGCCTCTAAGGAGATTCAGAACAGCCCACCAAGTGGTCCCCTCAGTTGCACAAATGAATTCCGTTTTCTGTTCCCAAATGAAGAGTATAATTTCGTGGGACCATTGTGTCTAGTTGGATGGTATCCAAACAAGTTTCCACGTGAGGATGATGTCTCCAGAGCCTCGGTGTTCACAGACACAGACAAAAGATCGCTTATGCGCCACTTGACGGAGGGACCAACCTCCTCTAAATGGGGCTGTTCTCACTGGCCAGTCCCCAGCTCCAGGGGGAGGTGTTAGGGACTTTGCGACAAAGGAGAGAGACCAGCGCCTTGTCTGCAGATGGGGGTGTGAAAGGCCACAGCTAGGGCCCCTCACACACAGTATGCCTCTCTTCAAAGTCCGGTAGAAATCAAACTCCAGGAGAGAGAGCAGCGGCCCCCGGCCTGAGGAGGGCTGGGTGAATGCAGCCCCTGCCCAGCCCCCCAGGGCCGTCCTCTGCTGGCCTCTGGACCCTTGTCCTGAACTAAGCAAGTCACCCCTGGACTTTATCTGCAGCCACCTCAATGGAGACCTCTTTGCTGCTTCCTGCT